TGCTGGATCACGGGGCAGTACTATAGGGTGTGTAGTCTCTGCTGAGCTTCCACTTCCCGTGCTGGACTGCTCCCTGTTCCATGCACTCTGGCCCGGGCTGCTGGATCATGCAGTGGTGGCCCCACAGGGTGTGTGGTTTCTGTCGAGTCTCCGCCTCCCTAGCCGGATGTCTCCCCACTCTGTGTGCACTAGGCTGGGCTCCTGGATCTCGCAGTGGCGGCCGCGCAGGGTGTGTGTTTTCTGCCGAGTCTCCGCCTCCCTAGCCGGACGTCTCCCCGCTCTGTGCACACTGGGCTGGGCTGGGATGTGTCTTCTGTAACCCTCATCTATCGGCCGGTCCTTCAAGTCCATGCTCGGCACCGCCTCACCCAGCAAGTCTTCCAGGTTTCTGCTAGGCGCAGACGACCGGTCGCTCTGGGTGCCTTTGTAGCACTGTTTAGATCTTTCTTGGGACTTATCACCTTCCTCCTGGTATCAAGGTTATTTGTGTACTTTTCTTATCTCCCACACCAGAGCATGAGCTCCTCAGAGGAGGAGCCCGCACCACACGGTTCACCTTTGTATCCCCCTGGCACGGACCGACTCCGGTGCCCGCCCGCAGACAGCTCTCTGGCAGGTTCAAGCGAACTCGGGAACGCTCCGACCACACTATTCCTAACCAGAAATCAGTTAGGCGTTTTTCTGAACTGGTGGCCACAGAGATGGTGTCTGCCTCCCGATAACAGGAAGTTTACTGGGGGCCGGAGCCCAGGGTGCGGTGGAGTGACAGTCAGCCCGGCCCGCACTTCCCTGCCCTCCCGACGCTGGCCGGGGACGCCCCACACCACCAGCCCCGCCAGAGAACCGCGGAGGGAGTGGGAGGGGAGGCCGGCCTGCAGGCCCCGTGAAGCCCTGTACCGGGGCAAGAAAGTGGGAAGGCTCAGTGAGGAGCTGATCCAGGCGAGAAGGACAGGCCTGGCCGAGCCGGGCCGGAGCCATCACCACCCGAGAAAATGGAGGCAGCCCCGGGGCCGGTGAGTGGCCCAGTGGTGCAGGCGGAAGTCGGTAGGCGTCCACCCCGTGAGCAGGGCCGGGCCGGGGGTCACTCACAGGGCTGGGCTGGGCCAGGCAGCTCTCTCTCCGCCTCTGCGTCGTTGCCATCCCCATGCTTGGCCGCCGCCACCTTGGGCTGCTCATTCGGTCCCGCAGCGCAGCTTGGGTGCTCCCAGGAATCTTCTTTTATGCCGGCCCGAAACCTCGAATCCTGAATAGGGCAGCTGGCCGCCTTCGGCGCGGCCCTGGCCTTTAGGATCCTGGCAGTGTTTCTAATGATTTATGTTTTTATGATTTTTATTCCTCCGGTGCTTTTTACCAAAAATAATTTGATAAAGGAAAAATAGATGTAGAATAGTAAGTTGAAAATGGGAGTGAATATTTTATACACACATATACACACAGTATAAGCATTGGTCTTAAACACTTGTTTGAGGTGTCCACAAATCTTTGAAGGGAACTGTGTCAGAGACTGCTAGTGGTCCCCTATATTTCCTCATCCCTTCTTTTATAGTAATAAAATAACCTGATTGTTTTGCTGGGGCAAATTGTCACTCTGAATAAAGACTAGATTTCCTAGACTGTCGTGCAACTAGGTATGGTTAATGATCATGTTCTGGGTAATTGGTTGTGAGTAAACACTGTGTATGCAACATACGTGAACTTAATGGGTGGAGTTGAAGAAGCCATATTAGACCATAAAGTGATTGTGGAGGAAAGTATAATAACAATTTAGAAGGAACCTGAGCCCTTGGTACACCATGGAGCACAAACTAGTCCTGGAGCACTACGCTGGATTTTTGCTTGAGATAAAAAGGAACATCTATATTGTTTAAGCCATTGTTATTTTGGATTTCAGGCACTTGCAGCTGAACCTGTACAACCACCAAAACTTCTTTGGCAAATGGATCACATACCCTGCTGGGGATATCATTGCCTCTTAGGCAAATGCAAATCACCAGCTTTATATGAGTTGTAAAGGCATCCCAACAAACTGTTTTTTGTGTTCACATTTTCCTTGGATTTGGGAATGTATGTAATGAAAAGGAAATAAAAGTAAATAAGAGAAAGTACATAGAATCAGCAAAGAACTTGAGTAGGAGTAGGGAGGTCCTACTCAATAAAGAATTTAAAAGCAAGATATTTCTTATTTAAGTCACTTGATAAATCACCTGGATCCAGAGATGACATTTGATGTATGTATCTATTTATTTAACTTTAAACTACTTCAGCAATCTGGTAATTCACCAGTACACAGACTTTAAAAGTCAACTTTGTCCCTCCTCTTAAAATTAGAGGATAAACACACCTTCTTAGGGAAAAAAACTCAAAAACCTCCTAACAATAATCCAGTCTTTAAATCTAATTCTTTAGTAAGTTCTCCTTTATGAATCTTAACTGTATTGAAAATATTTGGTAAGTGAAGGATACTTTTAAATAAGTAGCTTCATTTATAAATATAGGAAATAATCATTGTTAAATGGTTGTCAAAATATTTGTTCTTAACGTTTTGATAATATGTAGCAAGTTTTTAAAAAAGTTTATATGCTGTGACCTAGAAATTTTGTTTTTAGAAGTCTTTGGGGTTAAGGGAGAGGACAGTACTTATGTTCCATTTAGAAATATGAATTTGTATTCAAAATGAGATTACTAAATTTTGACATAGCTTTAATATTATGCAAACATTAAAAATAATGCTTTGGAAAATTATTTAATAATATGGAATAAGTAATTGGTCAAAATAGATTTAGTGAGATGAATCAAAGAAAAAAAAAGGTCTAGTAAGTAATCTGAATGCATTAGTGAATCCTAGTATATATGATTGATGACAGGTACTTAAAAATGTTGAGCAAAAGATAGACTATATGAGAGTACTTCAAACAGTTCATGGAAAAGATAATACAAATCTTTCCATGAACTGTTTGAAGACCCCTCATACAAGAAAGAAATGGTGTTTGAAGCAACTGGGTAACCATCTAGAAAAAATAATGTTGCATCCTTGTCTCACAATATATGTCAAGATGAGTCCAAATGTATCATAGAGATAAATGTTAAAAAATGAACCATAAAAATACCTTAGATTCTGGTAAGATCTTGCTATTCTGCAAAATCCATAGAAGAAAGAATTGGTAAAATTTTCTGCATCAGAAAAACAACAACTAAAACTTCTGTATGGCATTTTTTTTATGGCATTTTAAAAACACTGAGCAAAATTAAGTCAAAGGAAAAACAAATTATTTACAGCTCAATTATAGGCAAAGGAGTCAATTCTCTAACTGTAAAAAATTCGTCAAAATGAATAATAAAAAGAAATCCCGATAGGGAAAAAATCAGCAAAAGATGTAAACTAAACAGGTCACAGAAAAGGACATTGACATATGGCTTAAAAACATGGAAAATTTGTAACCTCACATATATAAGAGAAATGCAAATTAAAACTACACTGAGATGCCGTTTTTCAGATTTCTAGAAATTCTGAAGTTTTATATCCTGAATTATCTTGTCTGTGTGTATGTATATAGGTACTCTCGTGGACTAATGGCACGAGTACAAAGCCTTTCAATTTCTGTGGAGGGCAATTTGGTAATAGTTACCAAAATTATAAAAATTTCTACTGTTAGAGCTAGTAGTTAGACTTTTAGAATATATATTGTAAATGTGTATGTGTGAAATGACATGCACAATATTGTTAATTGCAGCATTTTTATAACAGCAAAAAAGTTGTGAATAAACTTACTGTCCATCAGTAGGAGAATGATTGAAGATATTATGGTACATTCATATGGTGGCGTGTTAGGCAGCTGCAAAAGAGCATAACGAGGCTCGTTATGTCTTAAATGGAAAGATCTCTAAGATATATTGTTAAATGGAAAAAACTAGGCTTAGAATCATATGTATGTTTCTTATGTGTTTAAAAGGGTTATGAGGAGACTATATAGTCGTATTTGCCTGTACATACATAAAAAAATCTCTGGAAGGACATGTAAACTATTAACCATGTATGTGTATATGTTCATGTGTGCATACATGGATGGAACTGGGTCAGGGTTAAGCACAACTACCTTTGTGGAGATTAGAAAAGCGTACTGCTTCCTCAGCATCTACTTTTTTCTCTTAAAAAATTGTTATATCGGTTTTGTTAGTGCAAGGCACTTGGCAGCCATCCACTGGAAAATGTTAATGAAAATATGTAAAGTTGAAGGATTTCTTTTTTTGAAAATTCTGGACTAAGCTTTTCATTATATTGAATTAAGCCCTTTCTCTAGGAAGTTTAACTTAACCTTCTGTTTATTTATGACTTTCTGATAATAGTTTCTATAGTAACAATAGAAAATTTATGATTTTCTGATAATCATAGTGTTTTATTAGTATTAGAAATACTTGATTTTGTTCAGATCACCTGTAGTTTATTTTAGGTAAAATTTTATTACTCACTAAGACACTGCTGTACCTTGTTGGGTGTACCTCTTGATATATTTTTGAATTTTGAGTAGTGTGACCCCCAAATATTTAATTATTTAGAATGAAATTAGAATTATTTAGGCTTATTTATAAGGTTAACAGAAAAAGTAAAATACAAAACTACACATTCAATATCATTCCTCTCTTACTAAAAATTTATACATACATATATTTATTTATATCTATATATGTATTATGTATTTATATGTATATGCCATGTGTTTATATAAATAAACTTTTAGTAAAATAATATCTGTATGTACATATATAGGTTTGTGTTCATGTGCATGTATTTTTTAGGGGAAAAGGATTAGAAGGAATTAGATCAAATTATAGTATCTCAGTGGAAGGCTTTTAGATGATTTTAAAAATAATTTCTTTATATGCTTTTGTATTTTCCCACTTTTTGCAGTGATTATATATTGTATTCCATTTATGATAAATGTTTTAATGCTGTGTCTCTAAAAATTTATACTGAAGCTTTTTTTTTTTCTCTCTTCATGAAGAGTTTTTCAGCTTATATCTTTAATGGATACTGGATTGTCTCAGTGTTCTAATGAGAAAATAGAGCTTGCAATTCTGTGGTTCTTGGATCAGTTTCGTAAAACATATGTTGGTGATCAACTGCAAAGAACCTCAAAGGTAGGTTTTACTATTAGAGATTTAAAAATATGTTATTGTAGATGAAGAAAGACATACACATATAACAGACCTAAGCTTAATGATATATTTGGGAAATTTCTACATAAGAAATTTAATTGATCAGTTGAAATCAATTCAGAAATTGGCATTGAAATGCAATATGAAATTAATTTGCTTGTTTTATACCTAGATTTACCATTACCTTTTAAGGTTAATTGGCAGAGCGGTAGTAAATATTTTTTTTTACATGGATGGTCCTTAAATAGTTAAGATTATTTTAAATATTTTAATGGATGTGCCCTATTGTATTGTCTTTCCAGACTGAAAACATAAGATTTGCTCTTTTAGTGGTTCCGGGGTTATTTGGACACTTATGTATGTAGTTTCCAGTATATTTCACTCATTCCTTGCATTTTTACATGATTATTTATGAGGACTAGGAGAATTTGATGTAGCTTTGAGAGATTTCCGTTAAGTCACCTTAATGTAGGGAATACTTATAGTGTGATAATTGGAAGTTTAGCATCAGCATGTTTAGACGAATTTATCTTGAAGCATAGAGGGATAATTGAGGGCATTTATGTGAACCCTATGCAGGTGTTTAGTAATACTTACGACACTAAGTTCCGTGAGATTTTTTTTCTTTTTTCTGGAATAGTAACTCTAAAATTTTCTCAGTAAGAAGTCCTAAAGATATTCTTATCTCTTTTGGATTTATAGTTTGTTATAGTAATGTTGAAGGATTTCTTATTTGATATTTCTAAAATAAGCTTTTTATATCAATTGAGCTCTTTCATCCTAGAAAATTTAGCTTAACATTCAGTTCACTTTTGATTTTCCGTAATGATCATTGTACAGTAGTGTGAAAAAAAATTGTTTGGCTTTAGGATTACCCTTTAGTTTATTTCAGGTAAGATTTTCTTCTCTTTTTAAGGAAGTGATGTAGCTTTATGCTTCTTTTATCAAATATATTGTGATATTTTATTGCCATTTAGGATTAATATCAAGTTTTTTTAGAATTTAGCTGCCACTGAATGAGACCATTAGGAAGAAAAAGGAGTAGCTAGAAATAAATGTGTTAGGTTGTCAGTAAGACAAATTAGGATCAGACAAAAATTACATGGTATAAAATTGATGACTTTTATTTATACAATTTTACAATTTAAAAGAGGCTACCTCTTTTTAAATCCCAGATGTGTTACTTGAAGATTGAATGTAAATCAAATTATGATGAATTGTTTTTTTTAATGTACCCAGAGAATTTGTTATTTTGCTTTTTGCAAAAGTAAATATGCCTGAAACATTACTAATCCAATATCCATTTGGTCAGAACAGTATAATATGGAGTAGAAAAGCCTTCATTTTTTTCCGACTCCACTCCTTCCCCAAAAGTCTTCTAATTATTGTTTTTAAAGTACTTGGAAAGAAAAATGTAAAATGAAACTAGTTGTTTTAGTGCAGTCAGATTTTGAAAATGTTTTCCCAAAATTTTTGTTTGATACACACACACACCTTTTAATATAAAGTAATTGTGAAAAATAGTGAATTATAGAAAACTAGTTTTTCTTTTCTGAAAAAGCTTGCATATGAGGGAAAAATAAATACATCATCAGACTGGTGTTGATTCTTTTATTATAACTTTAACATTTTTGGTGCGTGTATCTTACCCTATTGTCAAAAAGAGTTTAGTCCTAAGGTGACTTCACTTTTAAGGTATTCCTACTGCATAATCTCAAAGTGAAGCTAAAGCTTCCCCACTTTTCAATTTCTCCACTTCATCTGCCAATCTGTCTTAATAGAAACCATTTATTTGGGTTCTTAATATATGTCTTGTCACTCTTCTAGGAACTCTTTATTCCATCTTTATTCCTTATCACAACCCTTCAGGGTTGGTATTACTGTTCCCGTTTTACTAATGAGAGAACAGACATTTATTAAGTACCATCTGTACTATTTTTCTGGCAACCAACTAAGGAAGACTAGGCAGAAGATATTTCTTGGTGAGTGTATTGTTCGATTCCCAAATGGGGAAAGTATTAGATAATAGTTAAGTGAATAATGTTTAACAGTTAATTATTGCACACTTATTTTGTACTAGGATCTGTGCTAAGCACTTTAAAGCATTATGTCATGTAGTTACATCATGTAGGGTATGACTTACAAGATTCTTCCCAATCTCTTTTCTGTGTATGTCATCAGTTTCACGCTTTAGTACTCCTTTCTTGCACTGCATACTTTATGTGTACTACACTTTTTCCAGCTCCTTTGAGTCTGCTCTCTCTCAATATTGGGTTTTAGAACAAAATGTTCCCTCTGCCTAGAACACTATTTTTTTTATATCTAACTTTCACTTCTCTGCCTTATTCTGCCAGCTCCTACTTACCTTTCAAATCAGACACTTGGTTCTTTAGGATGCCCTTCTTAACTCTCAAATTCTGGGAGAGTTTCTTTTGTTTGTGTTCTGGTAATATCCATATTCCTCTATTTTAGCATTTTTAACACTGCATTGTAATTGTTTATTAGCAAAACATGTATAGAATGTAATTTTGGTTAGGACTATTTTTGCCTTGTTTGTTGTTATCATCCTCAAGGGCCTGGCATATTGCTTGTATGCTTTGTTAAATATATGTATTTAGTAAAATTCTGTAGGAATTGGACATCCCATGTATTGTACTTTCAGGTTATAAAGGGGTCTATTAATGAGTTGGAAAATGATGCTGATTTGAATGAAATTATTCAGAGTTTTAAATAAGGTATAATATTAAGCATCTCGAATATTTTATAAAAGCTTGTATGTACAAAGAAAGTTCTTTATAGAAATAAATGCTTTGGGAACTAAGGTGGAATCACTGAAGAGTTCTTAGTAATGTATGTATTAGAAGTATGTCCTGTAGGTGAGAAAGAAAAGTCATAAATAGTAGCCGTAGGCATTTATTGAATGATTAGTCTGTGCCAAATGTTTTGCTCAGAACTTGACAGGCATTATCTAATTTCATTCTAACAAAAACTGCTATAAAAATAATTATCATATTAACACCCTCCCTTTTTATAACTGTGGAAACTGAGGCTTGGATTTGTTTTAATGTGTTTTAAGTGATTGAACCTGGATTTGCATCCAGGACACTTGACTGCAGAGTTTGTGCTGCTAACCACTTTGCTATGTTACCTCCTATTGGATCTTTTCACTGGGATATTGCATTAGCCCTTCAAACTCATCACATTCTGAAAAGGAAATCACTACCTTCTAAAACCCTCTCGTCCGACTTTCCCATTTTTAGAAAGAATGAGATTGAACTCATAATCTCCCCTTTGCACTTACTTTTTGATCTGTCACCTGATCCTGCTGATTTTATTTTCTGAGTATCTCTTGGGTTCACTCCTTTCTCCTACCCCTTCTTTTTATCCTCATTGTCACTGCTTGTTATTTTTCACTGGATTTCAAAAGTATTCTAATTGTCCTCTATGTTTCTATTTTGCTTCTTCCTGCTGCAAGCCATTTTCCATATTTCCACTAGAGTAATCTTTTCTTCATTATTAAACAAGAGAGAATAATGTAGTAAGCACTCATACATGTGTCACTCAGCTTTATCAAATCTTAATCCTTCGCTGTATATTAGCTTCAGATCTGTATGTTTTTGAATAAACGTTAATGATCCTGTCGCTGCTTTGATTCTGTTCCTCTTGTTTCTTGCCTAAAAGCAACCACTACCCTAAATTTAGTGTTATTCTCATTTATGATTTCGTCCTTTTTCCACATTTATATGTATTTATAAACAAAACATAGTACTATTAACTTTATATAAAAGTAGTTTGGAGCCTCAGGAACTTGCCTTTTTTGATCAACACTGTTTTTGAGATTTATCTATAGTGATACATGTAGTTCTAAATATTTTAATTATTAAATGGTATTACAGTGTGTTACAATGCCATTATATACTTATTGTTTTCTGTTGGTATATGTTAGGTCGTTTCAAGCTTTTTAGTTTTAGAAACGATACTGCAGTAAACATTCTTGTACCTGTCTCATCATACATGTGTGAGAGTTTTGTGTAGATTAATAATAGGATGGAAATTACTGAGCTGTACAATGTATAGCTTTACTAGGATTATCAAGTTGCCTTCCTAAGTGTTATGACAGTTTGTTTTCCCTCCCCCACCAGGGTAGGCATGTGTTTCCATTGCTCTGTATTGTCGTAATACTTGCTTTTCTCAGACTATTAAGTTTTGCCAATCTTTAGGAAACACATTTCTTCCTGTGCCATCTCTCTGCTTAAAATTCTTTATTAGTTTTTCATTATTTACAAAATAAACTCCTCCTTGTGGTCAAACTTTGCCTAACTTTTCTACCTTTTCTTTTGACACTTCATTCCACTCTATGATATAATATATATGTGCTGCTGTGTCTTTTCCTCTTGCCTATTTCTACTCATTATTCAATGACTATTAATAAGCAATGTATTAAGGCCAGGGATGAAATGGCAAATAAGATGCTCCATCTTCCCAGTAAGTTTTTAATTAATGAGAAACATGGACAAATAAAGGAAAAATTATAAAATTTATCCATTTATGCTTTCAAACAGTATATGATGACATAAGGAAGAAATAAACTGTTAAATACATGCTGCTGAGACATTTCATTTGTTTTTCTGTATGTGAAAATCTGGATTATGATTTCACATCATACAAATATCAGTTCTGTGTAGGTTAGGGGACTCTAACTGTGAAAAGCAGGAGATTATGATTTAGGGATAGGGAAGAATTTTTCGAGACATAAAAAACCCAAATTCTAAACCAAAGGTTGATAAATTCTACCCATATTGAAAGTGAAAATTCCTATAATGAAAAGACATAATGAACAAAGTAACAAGAAAAGTCATATGCTGGGAAAATATTTGCAATGCATGTAATTTAAAGAGAGTCAATATCCAATTATACAAACAATTTTTATGAATAAATAAGAGAAGAACTACATGGTGGAGAGATGGGCAAATTATATGAGT